ATTAGTTACATGTTTTTAAAATTTCTTGTGAGGTTGGACTTTCCCACCTTCATGTATCTTGGCCGTTGCTATTAATATTTTGTGAGATATCTGTTAAATATTTTGCCCATGTTTTTGTTGGGATGGTTCAAATTTTTCCTTTTACCTTCTGAATGTTCTTTGTAGCTTTCCTTCAGCTATTAATATTTTTTCTATTTCAGGTTATGGACTATAACATTAACTTGGGAAAACACCTTCTCCCCTTGGTGGTTCAGGTGCTCAAATACTGTTCTTGTCCTCAACTACGGCATTATTTCCAACAGCCACCTCGTTGTTCCCTCTGGTCCCTCAAACCTCACATCCGGCAGATGTGGTTGAAGGCCTTGCTTGTCATCCTTTATAAGGTGAGTTGTGGTGGTCACTCCTATTTTGGGTGGAATGGTTCTCTTAGAGAGTATGGCATTAGGAGAACACCCAAATCCTAAGTTGAGAATCTTGTAGGGTAAATATTTGACCTTCAGAAGGAGAATCATGATGTGCAATTAGTGTGGAGAAGCAAAGAGCTATTGGGATGAAAATAGAAGTGGGAGGCCCTGTCAACATATGCTCTAAAAATATTTAAAACAAAAAATGATGAATGGTAGGACATTGGTCAACAACTTCTGTTTATGCGCAGAATCCCAAACAAATCAGAAAACAAAGAAGATATTTGAAATTGTATTCATCCACCAAATGTTTATGCCAGGTAATTTTCTTGAAAGGAATTGTAACTATGAACTGGCATGCATCGCCGTCAGTGGTTTGGTGCAAGAGGAAAGGAATATGGTCCCTTGTAAAAATAAGGCCATGATCAGAATCTGGTTTACTTTTCTGTATATTTCTTTTTGTCCCTAAGAGATACTGAGAAGACTATCTGGCAGGATCAAGTGGAAAAACTTACCCTTTAAAATAACCATTTATATTCTCCCCCTTCCATTTTATTGAGCAGTATCCGTACCGAGACTGTGAAATCAGCAAGATCCTGCTGCATCTGATTCACATAACGGTCAATACCCTCAATGCGCAGTATCATAGCTGCAAGCCCCATGCCACGGCAGGACCTTTGTACAGTGACAACAGTAACATAAGCAGATACAGTGAAAAAGAAAAAGGTACTTTCCATATCTGAATTCTATCCCAAACTTAGTTTGAATATATAATACATTTCTGGACAATGTGTTTCTTAGGAGATAGAGGAGCGTCCCCAGGTAACATTCTGGAGTCAAAAAAAAAAAAATCACTTACTACTTTGTTAATTTTCCAACCTTCCCATGAATGTTGTTGCTTTAAATTTTTAATTGAGCATTCAAGAGAAATAATTGATATGCTTCTATGCTCACATCCTAAGAAATAATGTTTTTATAAAATATTTTCTGCTGTTTGATTAAGGAGCCTTTGTAAGTGAGCCTTTTCTTATGTGTTGGAAACGTCTTGCTTTTGGCCTGTAAAGTAAATCTTGGCTGGCACTCACTGGAGCCATCGCTCATTCGCAGGTCTCTAGTTTGGCAGTGAACTTTGTGCTCAGAGAATTTGAATGGAGTCTAAATTAGCTAAAGTGCTTTTTCCTAGCCTTTTAATTCAATATGAAGTCATTCAAGGCAAGGGAAAATGAAACATTTTTTTGTTGCATAGGTTTAAGTATCTCTAATATCAACACTTTTTCTATTGATAGCTTTTCCTCAAAGGGGGCAGTAGAATGAAACTTTAGATAGAGTAAAATTACAGCCCAGATGCTTTTAGGTGAGAGATGAGGAGCCAAGGTGCATATCTTTAGTGCCTGTCACTAGTGATTAGACTTGTAAAGGTGACGTCATCTAATCTAATCCTGGGAGACTGCCAAGGGTCCAAGGCCCCTTTGAGGTGCTAGTACAGTCTGATTTGCTAGGACTGCTCTGGAACTATCTCAGCAGGATAAATTCTAGCCTGTGTTCCACTGTTTGTTTGTTGCTGAAAGGTCCAAGAATCTAGATTGGCTACAGACGAAACTCTGAGAACTAGTTTAAATTCTGGTACCATTCAGATCCTTCCTGAAGAATATTTTGTCTACCACTTTAGGTCTTAATGTCTAGGAAATAGAGTAGATTCCCTTCATCTATTGATGTTCTCAATGTGGGTTTAGTATTTGGGTCAATCCCAGGTGGACCTTTCTGAATGGGAGGCGCCATCTTGTGGTCGCTCAGTCTCGATCGTTGAGGACATTTTGAGAATTATTTCAAAGTTACATAATGGAAATCATACAGCTATTTGCACGAAAAACTACATTTTCAAAGGATTTTTTTAAAGAAAAGGAAATAGAGAAGTAAGACAGATCATTGTGTTGTATTTCCCCAGAAACATGAGAATTTGATAGGCTTTCTTGTCTTTGTGGAAGTTCACTGGGTTGTTTTTCTTTTTAATCCATTTTGATTGTTAATGTTTATTTTTTATTTGATTGAAAGGATCAGTATGGTTATTTCATCTAAAATTTACTGTTTCAAGTTTCATTTACTTGTAGAATCTGGTGGGTGTAGAATGGGTCCTTAAAACTTAATGCATATACTGCCCTTGTACTCAAGAAATTTTGAATAATCATAATCACATCTGAGTCTCATTTTGTCATATAGGTAGACATAAATATAGGCCAAATATTATGATTTCAGTGACATTCAACTCGAATAATAGGTTAACTCCATTTATTGTGGTATCACATGCATTTAGCCTTTTCTTTTGCCACTTTGTACATGGCTTTGCCAAAAGGATGAAAAAAGAAAATTTAATGAACTTTGTGGGTTGCGACATAGCAGCTCTTTCCTCATTAATGCGTTTTTTGGGTTTATCTTTGATTTATAAGTGGCCAAATGGGGATAGAAGAGAGAGCATAAAAACGGGCTCAACAGGCACTCCGAGAGAACGATTTGTTTACGGAGCTTTAGGAGCATAAGCGTCAAGCGTTCTTTCTGGGATTCATGAGATCTATAACAGTTACATGTGGTGAACTCCTCAGAGAAGAGTCTGATTTTAATAGGAGGAAATGTTATTTTTTGTTTTTTTTTCCCTTTGTTTACTCTTTCAGTCCATAATCATTTGTGGAGCTTTTGAGATGACAAGTGGCTTTTCTAAGCTTTTTCTGTGTGTTGTGTGTCTCATTACCAAATGTAGAGTACAGTATTTTGCATTCACACAGTATAAGGTGCATGTACTGTTAGGCTGTGTCTATGCCAGTTTCTGAACCTCAGGAAGGCAGACAGTTTTTGGAAAGGGCAAGATCTGCTCATGTTGTCTAATTCCCTTTTGCCAAATTAGCCTGAAAATCCATGCGAAGCAGGCAAGTTCAAGCAGTGGCACAGACTGCTGGAAAAAGTAGCTGACATTGTGTGTCATCTGGTTTTAAGTGCACTGGAACCATTTCCCCAAGAAAGGCTCTCTTGGAATCCTGAGATACTTTTCTTAAAAATGCTGCCAATTGTCACATGGAAAATGATGGGCAATCTTGTAACAGGTTGCTCTGTTCAACGCATGGATAATTTGATGCCTGGATGAAATACCAACCCATGGCTAGACTTGGGCTGGTGCAGAGACCACCCCAGACCTTGTTCCTTAATGCTTTCGTTGAAATGCTTGTGTAGACACAGCCTAAGAGAGAATAACCTCTTAAGTGTAATTTTGACTTTCTCTCCCCAATTAGAAGAAGATAGTGTTTTTGATGAATCTGATATTCATGATACACCTACTGGACCCTGCAATAAAGAGTCTCAAACTTTTTTTGCAAGATTGAAAAGAATAGGCGGCAGCAAAATGGTGAAATATCAGCCGGTTGAGATGAATGTTCAGAGAAGTATGAATTTTTTCTCTTAGTAATTTTATGCAGAAATGTTGTACTCTACTGTTTGTTTGGGGTGAAATCTTAATTTTATTATGTTACTACACATTTTAATACCGTTGATTTTTATATATATGTATGCACAAACAGTATATATATACACATTTATATATATACGTGAATTGACAGATACATCATTGACGTCATAATTGTCTTCGAGGGCCATTGCTTGATTTGATTTGTTGCCAAATGTTTGCTTCTCTTCCACACGATTTGAATACAGTTTCCTAGATATGCCTCAGCCAAAAAATGATCCCCTCTCCTGTGCACAGATAAATAGAGCTGAGGAATTATCCCGAAGCCTGATTTTGGAAATCAGATCTTAAACTGCCATATTGGGTTCTTTTATTCCAAAGTTTTCCGGTTTTTGAAATTAGAATGAGCCTTACAAAAACTTGGCCAGAAAGTTCGTTTTCCCTTCTGGTGGAGCTGGGATTGTGGTTATGATTTATGCCAACTGTATGCCGAAGTATGAGGGGAAAAATGGTGAAATTGCCAAGTAAAATAGTACTAGCTTTTTCTGTTTTAATCAGGTGAAATAGAACTGGCTGAATATAGAGAGACGGGTACATTACAAGACAGCCTGCTACACTGTGTGAGAGAAGAAAGCATTCAGAAAAAAAAGCTGCGTTCTTTTAAACAAAAATCTCTTGATATAGGGAATGCAGACTCCCTCTTGTTTACATTAGACGAGCATCGTAGGAAGTCTTGCATAGACCGGTGTGACGTAGAGAAGCCTCCTGCCCAAGCTGCTTACATCACACAAAGACAAAATGACCCCGGACGTTCTAGACAGAATTCTGCTACGAGGCCCGAGACTATCGAGATCCCTGAGAACCCAGCCGCAGAGGGATTTCAAGACACTCGGAGGCCGGTCATACCAGAAGTCAGGTTAAACTGCATGGAGACGTTCGAGGTGAAAATTGACTCTCCCGTAAAGGTAGCTCCTAAGGAGGATTTAGATCTGATAGATCTGTCCTCAGATTCAACATCTGGGCCTGAAAAGCACTCCATACTCTCAACGTCTGACAGCGACTCTCTTATATTTGAGCCTCTTCCACCTCTCAGAATCGTAGAGAGTGACGAAGAGGAGGAGACGATGAACCAAGGCAATGGTGGCACCTCTGGTAAAAACGCTGCCTCCTCGCCCTCTGTTCCCAGCCAGCCCCCCGTCCTGGGCCTGAGCGCAACCCTCCTCGTGCAAGTAAGTGTGGAGGATTGTTCCAAAGACTTTGCTACCAAGGACTCAGGAAATAACCAGTCGGCGGGTGACAAGGACTCCGTTCTCATAGCCCTGGAAGACCCTGCAGACTCCGAGGAACTGTCCAGGCCGGAGGAGCTGCCCGAGTTCTCCTGTGGCAGCCCCCTAACACTGAAACAGAAACGCGACCTGCTTCAGAAGTCGTCTGCTGTCCCCGAGATGTCGCTGGATAACCCTGATGCCAGCGCCGAGGAGGAGAAGCCCGATGGGCTGATGCCAAGTTCAGGAGCAAAAACTGTCCTCCTCAAAGTTCCCGAAGATGCGGAGAATCCAATAGAAAGTGAGAAGCCCGATACAAGTGCCGAATCCGATACCGAACAGAATCCTGAAAGGAAGGTGGAAGAGGATGGAGCTGAGGAATCAGAATTTAAGATTCAGATTGTTCCCAGGCAGAGGAAACAGCGAAAGATTGCTGTCAGTGCTATCCAGAGAGAGTACCTCGACATTTCCTTCAACATTCTAGACAAGTTGGGAGAACAGAAAGACCCAGGTAAGCTCATCTCTCCTCTATCTCTTAACCTCACCTTCAAGTTTGTGCATCTTACTTGCTAGGGTATTGGCACCGAATATGCATCAAACTCAAAATCTTATAATGTCAGGGTGTGACATTATAATCGCTTCACAATCACTCTGAATCCTTCCTGCTCCCTGGACTGTGTTGGATTCAGATGTGGTCCTACTGGCTCCATAAGTGTTTCTGTATTTGTTGTTTCTAAACTTTACAGTCCATTCTTCACCCCCCTTGGCGATATGAGGCAATGGTTAATTCACGTCAGGATATTCCAAATGTCATCTTAGCCTTCCTCGAACAGCAAAACTCATTAACTTGAATTCTTTGCTTTCTCTGTTTTTCCTGCTCTATTTTAGTGAGTTGTAGTCCAAAGATGGAACAAATGTGAAGGGCTAAAGCAAAGCAGAGAGTGCTGGGAATGATTAAGAATTGACTGTAGAATCACTTAGGGTCTACAGCTGATTGTGGATACTCACCAAATACCAGAAACCAAAAAATACCAGTTACACCCTAGACCCTAATCCAGGGACACCACTGAATGATAAAGTTGTCAGAGCACGTGGATTTCCTGCCACAAGTGCTATTTCTTGTGTTTCCTTAGAGGCGCTGTTTCTAAGGAAGGTAACTTGAGAGAAGTGGCAAGCTGGTGGTATATCGCATCCTAAAACGCAGTCTTCTGTGACGTTACTACAATGCTGATCAGAAGGCCTCTTCATTTCTTAGTTCAGATATTAAAAAAAAATTAATGGGATTCTTTGGGAAAAAACGTAATTGTCCAGGGACGATTATTTTAGTAGATTCATAGACTAGAGAACATTGAGAACTGGCAAAGACCTGAGAAACCTCTAGCTTAGCCTCTCACTTCACACAGGAGGATACTGAGGCTTAGACGAGTGACACACCTTGCCCCAGGTCACACAGCCCGGCAGAAGGAGTGCCTGAGTCTAGTCCTGCTTTTTCTGCTATTCCACACAAAAGCAACTTCCAAGAGAATGCACTTGGCTCTTTTATTTGCCCCAGGCATTTCCAGAGGTTTCTAGCTGTTCTGTAGCTCACAGGACAAAGCTGTGTACCTCAAAGATGCTCTGTAAAAAAAAATCTGTTGAATGAACGTTAGTGGATTTGGAAAGGGTCATGCTCCAGCCAGGCAGGGGGAAAAGATCCTGTTAATAACAAGAGAGTTTAAGAAGTTAAGAAGACTTTTAGGGAAACTGGGACACCTTTCTATTGTTTGGAGCCAGGAAACTTGCTGCATACGGATGGAGGACAGCGTTGGCCTAGAAACTATAGCTATCTGTAGGTTGGGTAGATAAGAAACTGTATAAGAACTACAGAGTGGGTGTATGTGGCCTATAGGTTGCATATAGGTTGTAGTGTGTATGTTTGTGTGTACATGTGTGTTGCCTTCTTTATTCGTCCTTATGTCTGGCTACTGGGGAGGAAGTTGGTTTTGTATTCATACATCTGAACAAGAGAAAACAAGAGAAAAATATCTGACAATTACTATAATATGCCTTTTAAATATTTATAATATGTATTATATTGTCATCATAATTTTATATCTCTATAGTGCCCTATCTCCCACAGACACACTAATTTCTCCTGAAACCCTTCCCCTGTGCTCTCAGAAAGTCATGGTCCTTCATGAGCAAAATCCCCTACGTGCCTTCTTTCTCCTGTTTCGTTTGCCTTCTTGGTCTGATGGAAGCCCGGCTGTCCCGGAGGACGTTGCTTTCCCTGCAGTCCTTGTGCCTTTGGGCTTGGGGTGGGGCGGGCATCCTCCTCGCTCATGATCGATCCTTTTGCAGCGTTCCCTCCTTGTCCCTAACACTCCCAGCTCCAAGTCTCCTGTCGTCTGACCCCACCACCCACTCCGCCCTCACTGCTGCCTCATTACTAACCCCTGACGCCTTCTCATTTGTTGACAGACTTGACTCCAGGCTCTTCTTACTCTTTCCTAAATTATTCTTGTTTTAATTCTTGTCTATTTCAATATTAGTGTGGTTGACTCTTCTGACACTCCGGCTTCTCAGTTCCTTGATTCATCTTCTCCAGAGATTGTTTTTTTATCTTCCACCGTGGCTCAGCTGCTCGTTCCCATGGTGCCATCACAGACCTTATTATTGCCAATAACTGCGACCCTTCCATGGTCTCAACTTCATGTCTCCCCCTCTCTGATTACCATTTCCCTCTCTCTGGACAAACTGTATTGATCCTATTATCTTCCCTGTCCCTCCCCTACTTCACGTCTTCTCTCCTTGCTCAACTCGAATTCACAGCTATCGGTGTAGTCCCTCCCTCCACTCCTCTCTGGCGTTTGCTCTTTTAGACTTGCAATGGGTAAACACAGCCCTTGTTAAATCACCTCTTCGTCTGCCCACACCTGTACCTCTCATGCGAATGGATAAAAACACATAATGTTGACTGGACTCATTTTAAATTCATGGCCAGGAACCTCAACTGGGTCCTTAAAGCTACCTGGCGATTATATCATATTTTTTTGGTCCATTCACATTTCCATTCTCCTAAATGACTATTTCATAGCTACTTTTCGCCCTAAACTTTTAATAACTCTCCCAGCTGACATCATCAGAAGGAATTTCCACAGCCTCCTACCACCTTCATCTGCCTACATTGCAGCATCTGCGCTTACACACCCAGCCTTCCTGTTCACCTGGGGCTACAGGTGAACAGCCTGTGTTCCTGTCTATAGCCAGCCTTGCCACAAGTGGACAAGATACCAAAAATTCTCCCCTATGTCTCCTCCCTTAGTGTTTTTTTTTCCTAAAGGACCTTTTACTTGAGCATACAAACATAATCTTATTTCTCCCTCTTAAAAAAAAAAGCTCTTGATCCCAATTCTCCCAACTATAATATCATCACATTTTGCTCCTCCCAGTATAGCAAAACCTTTTGGAAGAGTTGTCTATACTATCACTATCTCAAATTTCCTCTTAATCTATTCTTTCTAAAAATCATTCCTAAGCCGGGTGTGGTGGCACGTACCCATAGTCCCAGCTACTTGGGAGGCTGAGGCAGGAGTATTGCTTGAGCTTAGGAGTGGGAGGCTGCCGTGTGCTATGAATGTGCCTGTGAATCGTCACTGCACTCCAGCCTGGGCAACATAGTGAGATCCCATCTCTAAAAAATAAAATATAAAAAATAAAAAAACATTTCTATGAAGGTTTTATTCCCACTACTTCACCAAAACTGCACTTGTCAAGGTCACCAGTGGCCTTTGCTGCTAAATCTGTCAGCTCTTGGGTCTCATCTTGTGACATATCTACGGTATCTGGGACAGTTGATCACTCCCACTGCACTTGACTTCCAGGGTACCGCACTCTCTTGGTCTCCCCTTTATTCAATGGTCACTCCTCTCAGACTCTTTTGTTGGTTCCTCCTTATTTCCCTAATGAGGGAGTGCCCTGGGTCTCTGTCCTTGATCCTTTCCTCTTCTTTATGGACACTCACTCTCTTGGTGGTCTCGTCTGATCTTACAGCTTTACGTATTGTCTGTATCCTGAGACAGCTCTCAGTTACCTATTGCTGGAATAATGCTGTGTAACAAAAATCTCAGCAGCATACAACAATTAGCATTTATTTAGTTCGAGAGTCTATGGGTCATCTGGGGATTGGCTACTTGGGCTGGGTGGCCAGGCTTTGCTCCTCATGCCTGCCGACCTCAGCTGGCACCGTGAAGCCTGGGGACATTCTTCTCATCATGATGGCAGGGCCACAAGAGCCCAGTTGCACAAACATTTTTCAAGCCTTTGGTCATGTTATGCCTACAAACATTCTGCTAGCCAAAGCGAATCACATGGCTGGATCGAAGTCCAGAGGGGAAATTCATTCTGCCTCTTTAGTCGGAGGAACTTCAAAGTCACGTGGTAAAAGGCAGGGACTCAGGGAAGAGTGAAGAATTGGGGCCACATCTCTCAAATGTTGCATGGGATATACTCATACTAAAAAATTATGTTGTATACCTGAAAGTGAAAATCGAACGGAGTGTCCTCTATCTTATCTGGCAACCTTAACCTACCTTCAAAACGTACCAGGAGTGTGGCGCACCTTCTCATCTCCACTGTTTCCACTCCAGTCTGAACCACTGACATCTCTCACCTGGATTAACTGCTAGAGCCTCCTAACTGGTGTCCCACCTTCTGCCCTTATCACTTTCACGTCCTCGCAGTACTACAGCCAGAGTGATCCTTTGAGACATGGGATTATGCCATTTCTCTGCTTGAAACCTTCTAGAGGCTCTCTGTTTCTTTCATAGCAAAAACTCAAGTTCTTTAAATGCCTAGAAAGCTGTATGTGGTCCTGGTCCTCATTGGCTCTGTGACTTCATTTGCATTGTGCTCTCCACACTTCTACTTGGGCACGTGGCCTCTTGCCATTTCTTGACCACTCTCTACATATTCCTACCTTAGCGTCTTCACACTGGCTGCTCCCTCAACCTGGAGCTGTCAGGTGTCTGTCTGGCTCATTCCCTCACTTCTTTTAATTCTTTGCTCAAACAGCAGGTTCCCAGTGAAGACTGCCCTGGACTACAGCCCACCCTCCAACCCAACCTGGCATCTTGGTGTCTGTTTCTCTTCTGCAAAGAATTGATCTTCTAACATACAATAATTTATTTAATTGTATGCATATTAATTATTTTCTGTCTCTCCCCACAAAAATGAAAGGCCCCGAAGGCAAGGATTTTGTCTGGTTTGCTCACGGATTGTATCCCAAGTGACTAGTAGAGAGCTGGCAAATGTTTGATGAATGAATGAAAGGACGGCATGACATCTTCTGTACATCACTTTAAAAAGATACAAATATTTCAAGCCAAGTGGATAGCTTTATTCAGATATTTGTCTTAAACAAATATTTGTATTCACAAATAAAAGGTTTCATAAAATGATGGAGGACTGAGAAAAAATTGCTTGGCTCACAGAATCTTGGCACACTAATGATTATTAACTATCTTAATATTACTAACTATACTTAAAAATAATGACATTTCTTTAAAATTAAAGACACACCAAGGGTTTTAATAAGCATACTAAAACTCTAAAAGTCTCAACAATCTTTCAAAGAATTCTTGAAAACCACCTTTAAGCTTCCTCATTCACATTGCTGATGAGACCGTCACGCTGTAGTGGCAGCACACACAGAATGGAGGCAGACGAGGGTAAGAGAGATAATTGTGCGTGGTTTTCACTCGCGGTTTGGGGAGGATACCTGAGAGAAAAATAACTCCTAATCTTTAATACCTTAACTACTAAAGTCATTTAAAATCAGTCATTATTTTATGCTTTATTAAGAGAGTCTGGGAAACTTTACGACAGTTACACTTTTTTTTGTTATCAAGCAGTTATTAATCTGGCAACCATATTTACTTAGAAAAACCTCTGAGAATCAAAATTAGGTGCTCTAACATCGACACTCAAAAACTTTTCTCCCAGGCCCTTACCTAGGATCTATTTTACTTTTATTTCTGACAGTTTAGCAAGTGTAATGATCATCCAATAATAGAACAGCATCTGTATAATTAAATTGTATGTTCGTATGAATGTGTGGTGGATTTCTCTGTGGCAAGAAAAAACCATGAAAAGGATGGGACAGAAACATTATTATGCTTAAGAACTCAAAGCCATTTGGGGTTGGTGTCCCTGGATCACAGCACGGTGTAGCCATGGAAGCCCACAGAGGTGACTTGAGGTCAGCAAGATGTTCCATGTGCACACTGCACAGTGCGGCTCACGATGGCAAGAAGTTTTGTAAAGAATTTTAGGCAGTTTGCCATGGCAAACCATTAAACTCTTCAGAAAGTCCTAAAAAATAATTTGCAGTTCTCTGTAATAATGTGGGACAGCTTGATTCTCATTATTGATAGATTAATAAGACAATATTATATGCAGAAAATATTTCCTCTTAGACTCAACATCCATCAAATAGGAGAACAAATAATATAGTCTTTTTTTTGCTCAACTAATAAAATATAAAATCTGAGTTAATTATGTGTATTTATTCCAATTAAGTACAGTCCCTGCTCTTAAATTACTTATGGTTTAGTGAAGGTTATAGACAAGTAAATAGACAATTATATTATGGTGTGATAAGTTTGGAAAGGTTAAAGACAAGGTGATCTGTGATTACATAAAAGGTACACCTGATTCAGTGTTTTTGTTTCCATATTTTTAGGGAGAGAGGTCCTGGAAGCCTCCCTGGGGGAGCAATTTTCTCTATAAATTGAGGTGTAAATGATGAGTAGGAAACTTCCAGACAAAGGTGGAGATAGGTGGAATGAACTATTAAGCATCTTTAGGTATTAGATGAAAAGAAATTCAGTATGGAAAACTTGTTCGAGGATATGCATTGTGAGCATGCCGAGCTTTTGCTCTGTATTGGGTTGTCATTGAGCTCTAAGAGACATGTCCATAGATGCAGAATGTAACATATAATCAGCTCTCCATTGAAACCAGTGTGTATGTAATTCCATGAAAGTAATTATTAGAGCCAGAAAGTGTGTAAAGATTTGAATGGGTATAGTAGGCAAGAGGGAAAAAGATATGGAAAAGGTTCTTGAACTTGCTTTTAATCAATTTCCTGAGTTTTAAATGATATTTCCGTTTGTAGATTCCTCTACTAAAGGGCTTTCAACTTTGGAAATGCCACGAGAATCCTCATCTGCACCTACGTTAGAAGCAGGGGTGCCAGAAACAAGCAGCCATTCCTCAATATCAAGTAAGGTTCCCTCTGGTGATCATTGCACCTGTACATTGATTTTGGAACACTCTCTGCTGCCTTGTTTTTAATTTTCACAATCTTGGTTTTCTTCTTTTATGTTGTCTTAGCTTCCTGGGTGACATTATGTTGTATGCCCTCAGAGACCTGAGGTGTAGTATGGCCCACTTTTGTTCCTATCTCAAATGTTTGATAAATCACTATGGTTACTGATTGGCCAAGAATCCTAATTTGTTAAGGAACAGTCACTGAATTTTGTCATTCAATAAAATAAAAATTAAATGTTACTAGCCTGAAAATAAATCATGGAACTGGTTTTGGGACACGTGAAAAGCATTATTTATGGCAGAATTTTACATGGAGCACCCTTCTGTAATTTGAATCACCTCTATCATTAACAAAATTTGTTCTAGGTTATCATAAAATAAATGTTATCATATACATGACTGGATCTAGCCCTTTTGCATTGGAAAATAAAAATGGCATGACATTGCACAGGACCTATAGGAGGCAAGTGCTTTGCAACTACCTTCCGTTTCTGGGTCTGAGATTCTGTCCATGAAGAGCCTGAATTCCACTGAAGTTCCAAAACGGTGTCCACTTGGCTCTGGGGGCAGTTAAGAGACTTTAGCTTGGGACATTCTTACCGGGAATCAGAGATACAGAGGTGCAACTTCTGTGAACCTTTGTCACATGTGCTGACACATTCTGTGTTCCATGGGGACAGTGCCTGAAAAGCTATTTAATTTTCATTTGACAAGCTTTTGAAATGAGAATGATCCTGAAAAGCCAGATAAAGATCTTAACTTAAATGCTGGACTGGTAGTATGGAACACCATCATCTTCATCATTCATTCATGTATTCATTCATGCATTCATTCATTCAGCAAACATTTATGAAGTGTCTGCTGGATGCCAGGCACTGTGCTTGGCACTGGGGATCAAAGATGAATAAATAAGACACCCCTTGTTCTCCAGGAGTTTGCGATCATAATAGCAATTATAGCTGCCATTTATTTGACACCTACCATGTGTCAGGCACTGTGCTAAGTGGCTCGCACATATAGTTATCTGATCCAATCCTTCCATCAGCACTGCATGGCAGATATTGTTGACCCCATTTCATAGACTGGGGAGCTGAGGTTCAGAGAGGCTAAGTGACTTGCCTAAAGTCATATGGCTACTAAGTGACAGAGACAGGAAACGATGCTAGGTCTGTTAGACTTTCAAGCCTTTGTTCTTTTTTAGTGTGCCACACTGCCTCAGAATAATTCAAATTCAACTGTAATAAAGATTATGGAAATTCTAAGAAATAGCTTCCAAGTGACAATTAGACATGGTAGGAAAGAAAAATGGCTAGTTCTGAATCTAATTGTTCTGTTATCATAAAACATCTCTTTGATAACATGATAAAATGCCCATTTTTAAGTCCACATACTAAAATCATGAAAGTGTATCTTTTCTTCATAATTTGCATGAGTCATCTAAAAAAAAAAAGATAGTGAATAAGGGCATAATTTGACATAGGATGATTAAGTTAGTGGGACTCTAGTGCTAATTAAATATACCATAAAGTAAACTGATCAAGTGTATCATGATCCCAACATCATGACTGAATCTAGCCTTTCTGGATTTAGTTTAGCATATCATTAGATTTCCATTTTTCTCTTCCTTGCCATAAAAACATGCATTCTATAGCTCTTGGTGGTGTGCTCTTGGAAGCATAATGCCAGGTGCCTTACACACTGAGCTAAACATTAAGAGTTTTTACTCTCAGGGAATTCTGCTGTCTTTAAAAACAACTGAGAATTGAAGAAACTATTCAATCACTAGAGGTTTTAAATCCTTCTTTTAATCTGCTAGATGCTGCTAATTTTTAAATTTGTCAAATCTTTTAAAAAATTTCTGCTCTTGAATTTTACCTGAAGCTGCACTTTTCAAGTGAGTCATAAAATTGTAAATTTTACCAATTGGCAACAAAAATAAGAGCTAATAACAGGTTGAGTTGTCATTTCCATGAATTCTGTTAATGTGGACTCTAAGACACAGGAATTCCTAACACATTCTTCTCTTTTGATCAGTTTATAAGCTGATTATTTTGTAGCTAAACATGCCTTGACCACCATTAATCAAACAGCATGCTAATTACATTAAAATGATGTTGTAATTGATTTCACATCACGCCAGGTTGTTGCCTTGGTACCATGATTGCGAAACCTGTGTATAACATTGAAGGGTTTCCAGGGGCCATACAGTCACTCCAGTTTCTACCATCCCCTTCTAGGGCATGTAGTTCATAGCTTTGGTTTCTGAAGTTGTCCTTGTAAGAGAGTGAAAACCACAGGTTGTCAAGTATCCAGGTGTTTGGGGTCATGTAGAAAAGCTGCATTAGTGATGTTCTGCCTCTCACATTGGGCTGGTTGGTAGGGTTGGGTGGACCACTCACAGCACGGTAGGAGCAGAGGAGGTGAGCTGCTTTCTAACCCAGCCATCTACTGGCAGAAGCGCTTCTCATTGTTTTCTGGTTTGGAACTACTAATAACTTGACATTTCACTGGTGGGATATTTGTCAATGCTTAATTGTAGGATAAAAATGTTACCACCGTTTCTAAAACAAAGACATGCACTAGAATATACTTGTGGAATGTAATTTGATTCACATTTTTCAAACAGTAGGCAGAGGCTCATACAGAGATTGAAAACAGCATTGACTTTGGAGTTGCTATGTTTTGGTTTTAGGACCACTTCAGTTGCTGGTTGGTTCCAAGTAACATATTTTCATTTGCTTCAGTTTCTCTCTCTGAAAATTGGGGTTGATATATGTCATTCTACTCTAAAATACACAAGCACACATACACAGACACATCATACACACAGATGCGGGGACCTCATGGGGATATGATGAAAACTGAAGCTCCATTAAAGAAAGTTAAGCTATTATATAAACTCAAAATAGTATTATCTGTCTTAAATCCTTTTTGGAACATGGCAGAGTATATAAGATAAAAAGTAAATGAAAATAGGCCGGGTGTGGTGGCTCACGCCTGTAATCCTAGCACTCTGGGAGGCCGAGGCAGGAGGATTGCTTGAGCTCAGGAGTTCGAAACCAGCCTGAGCAAGAGCAAGATCCCGTCTCTACTAAAAATAGAAAGAAATTAATTGGACAACTAAAAATATATAGAAAAAATTAGCCGGGCATGGTGGCGCATGCCTGTAGTCCCAGCTACTCGGGAGGCTGAGGCAGAAGGATTGCTTGAGCCCAGGAGTTTGAGGTTGCTGTGAGCTAGGCTGACGCCATGGCACCCTAGCCTGGGCAACAGAGTGAGTCTCTGTCTCAAGAAAAAAAAAAAAAAAGAAAATAAAGTAAATGAAAATATTTTATTTAGTTGTAATGGGGAAAAATATTTCCGTACTACAGATCAGTGCTAATGGGCACTGTTATTGCCTCCACTGTGTGAATAAGGCCCTGGAACAGCAGAGTGCCTTAGTTTTTCATTTGGACAGGAGCATACAATGTACCGAAAATTACGACTAGCTAATGAAGGTTCAATTAAAATTCTGTATGGATGTGTAGAGCCTTTGTGTGCTGTGGAATTTATTTCCCCTAGTAATCATCTCCTAATTTCCTCCATATAGCTCAGTATAGGCAGATGAAAAGGGGATCCCTGGGAGTTCTGACAATGGGCCAGTTAACGAAGCGCCAGCTGGAACATCAGTCTAGCGCCCCCCATAACATCAGCAACTGGGACACTGGTGGGTCAAGTTTTTCTTCTTGTTTTACCTCTCAGATTAGCTAATGCCACTTTCTCTGTGTCCACGCTGCTCCCTTGTTAAGGAATACATTTCCTCTCCTGTTCTTTGGTTCAAATAATTTAAAAAAAAAGAGGGTAATTAATAAGTCTATTTAAACTTTCCAATTGTTCTAGAGTGACACTTTCTTCCACTTAGGTTGGCCCAACTCTTTTTCTCTCTAAGACCCAGATTCCAGGTACTAGGCTATCGATCTGGGGAGGAGGGAATGGAACTATGATTTCATGATGCAAATTTAAAAAAAAGATTATCAATATTCTCTGTTTTATGAACTATAAAGCACTCCCCAAATAAGGGAGTATTAATAGTAATAATAAATGTCAGCTTAGTGACGTGATCTGCCAGTAAGTTTGGGAATATGGGTTCTGGGTTTTAGCCAGCAGGGTTACCAGTTGCAGCCGCACACCCTCCCCCTGTCCCCCGCCCATGCTCATACGATGGAACTGCATCTAACCTCAACTTTAAAGTAAGAATTGACTGCCCTGCCGTGACGTGTCTATTTTAAACACGATCACTCTGCATTTTGTAAACTGTGTTATTACCACGTTCTGCACACCTACTACCTTCTCAAGCCAGTAGTACTGCCGCAATCCTCTTTTAATTGCCTGCCTTTCCTTTTGTTCTTCTTTAATTAAATGGGTTATTTGAGTTATGAGATTATATATGTGAAAGCACTTTGAAACATGCTTGCACTGTGAAAATACAAGGGTTTATTATTGTGATAGGCTCCGGGGGCCAACACTTGGATCAGACTCTTTATATTTTGATTAGTACTTTCTGGCTACAGTTATATGAGATTATTTTAATATTCTTCCTTATGATTATGAATTACAATGTCCATCAAACCAAAATCCTGTGATACTGTTATTTTTTTCAAAGCCATAGTATTGATATACAAGTCAGCTTATGTGTTCTCATTATTCTTAAGGAGAAAGAGAGAGAGAGAGCGTGCACTAGCCTAGGTAACTAAATCTCACACTCCACACCCAATCTCATATGTAACAGATAGTTTCAACTCTCCGGGCCTTTATGAGGTTTCTTAACGTTTTAAAGGTTTAGTGTTTTCTGTTCATTTTAGTGATGTGTAGTAGTGAGCAGTGAAGAACCAAAAACCAACAGGCAAAAAAAGAGGAGAAAGACACTAGATATTAATAGCTAACCTCAGGAGGTTATAGGGCTTGAGCAAAGTTTTTCTGTCCACACCAAAGGGGACCGTGCTTCTCTCTTTACTGAGATGAAGCTACATGAGGAACTGAGAACGGCAGCTTTTTTTGGTGAGGTCTCTGATAATTAAATGCCCAGCTTCTGTTAGGCTGATCTGGGGCTCTGAAGATTATTTTACCATACCGTTGTTTTCTGCAGCAAATAGCTCAGCCTAAGCTAACCATTTTAGATTCTGACTATAATTACAATCTAGTTTGATTGACTCCGTACTTATAAAAAGGCAAATTGATCTCAATTTCGAATCCAAATTTTAATCTGAAAAAAATCTACACGATGCCAAATAACCCATTTAACTGAATTTTTCACTTTTCAACCAAACTTCAACCTTATTCATGTCACGCTAGTTTCTTTTTTTTTTTGAGACAGCATCTCGCTCTGTCACCCTGGCTAGAGTGCAGTGGGGTTGTCGTAGCTTACTACAACCTCAAACACCTGAGCTTAAGAAATCCTTCTGCCTCAGACTCTCAAGTAGCTGGGACCACAGGTGCATACCACCACACCCAGCTAATTTTTTCTATTTTTAGTAGTGATGGGGGTCTTGTTTTTGCTCAGGCTGGTCTCGAACTACTGACCTCAAGTGATCCTCCTGCCTCGGCCTCCCAGAGTGCTAGGATTACAGTGTGAAATACCTCGCCTGGCCCTGGTTTCTCATTTAATACTTCCCACTTACATGCTGTCTGAATTTCTTTCACCTGAGTTTTCCTGGGCTTGTTTTCTATCCTCCAAGTTGGTCCTCTAGTCCCCAAGTCCTATTAGAAGTTCATTTCAATATTCTCATTTTTACTAGTGCCATAAAAAAGGACTCACCAAATCCAAGCCCAGAGGAGAGCCTGTGACCGTACAGTACAGTGTCAGGTGGCATGTCACTCTAAACCATGTGTTGGTGCAGGGACTCGCTTGTCTCCATGAGAACAGACATGGCCACGCAGGCACACTGAGAAAGGCAGCCCAAAACACGGGTCATGGTCGGTCCACCTCAGCGTGCGCCAGCTCACTCATAGCATGCCTGCCTTCCTCCATCCATGCGCGCCGGGATGACTTGCTCCTTTGCCTCATCTTTCATGTGAACACGTGTTTTTGAAGCACCACTCCTCCATTTCTGCCCCGCCCCTTACCCCGGTCCCGCGGTCCAACGCCTGCCATTTCCTTCTACCAGTCCCACATGTTTTCTCTATGACCTTTTCTGGCCATTTCCTCAAATGATCACTTATGTATTTATTGATTTGCATACAACATTTCTTTCATGGCCATGACATTAGCCTTTCATTTTCTATCAGGAGATATGAGATTTGAGCTTTTTGGGGGATGGGAGGGGTGGTCCGCACTTTTTGGGGATGGTTTTAGACGCTCTCCCGCTTTTAGTTGCATTTCATAGAACTGAACCTCAGGTTGGTAGTGAAACCCCAAGCAACCCTACCCTAAAATCTAGGATGTGTCCTGTAAATGTTAATAATCAACAGTAACAATGACCCCCAAAATGGCCCTAAGAGATGACTGGTTAAATTCTTTGTATTCTGAATTGTGTTGAGCTTATCACACTGAAGACTGAAATGCTCTGTTTATCCACAGAACAGATACAGCCCGGGAAACGCCAATGTAATGTGCCAACGTGCCTAAACCCTGACCTGGAGGGACAGCCGTTGAGAACGAGAGGTTAGTTGAGTCACAGAGTCTCAGACTGTAAGAGCTGAAAGAGACCAGACATGGCCACCATCTGGTCACCCAGTGGCTGCTACAGCCTCTTCCTTAGCAGCTCCGTGAGTGGGGCCAGCCTTTGCTCAAACACTCCAGGGACTGGGAACGCATGACATCTCATCTTCGAATATGACCGATAGTTCTTCCTTACAGTGACGTTCTAACCCTTGGAGCCACACGAAACAAGTCTAGTCTCTCTCATATAATTTTTTGGACATTTGAAAATAGCCACCCATTGCTTAATTCCCTCAGTCTTTTGTACACTAGACATTCCTGGGTCCTTCAGTATTCCCCCTCATACCTATCAGTTTTCCATGTCATCCTATACCTACTTTTCTGGGCATGGTCCAGCTTATCTGTATTTCTTCTAGAATGTTGAGGTCATGGGTGAACAGCCTCTTTTCAGCTATCTGAAGTGCACATTGAAAATATCCACTTGACCTTATGCTGCTCATGAAAGCAAGCTGAACATAAATCTGCTCTAAGGTCAGAATATTTATTTTCAGAATTCATCCCATGAATTTTAACTATCAAACTAGTTAATCATTACTTTTGTTCTTTTGTAATTTACAAGGCAAGTTAATCTATCATTGGTTAAAAAAAAAGAATTATGATCACATCTCATAACTAGTCTCTTAAATCAAGAAGACCTATTTTTCTAGACCACATCACTCTTCTAATTTTCCTAAGGAATGAGGAGATATTTATCTCCAGCTTTTACTGACACTTCTTTGGTAATGAGTAGCAGTTTTTAGTTCCCGTATCAGATGAGGTAAGACTCTTCTCATCTTTGGGGCTAGGAAAAGCTTTGATGAGTAGAAGTCAGGGTAGTCGAACAAATCTTGGGTACTTGTTCACGATCTAGTGACTCAGTAGCAGCAAAAACGGAGTGAGGTGATGGGAACCAAGGTGGAAAGTTGGTCTCTCTCACGGTAAACTGAAGAGTCCATTGGTGCAGGTGGGCGACTGATACAAACACCTTTATAGTTCTTCTGTCTCCAAGACTCCCAAAGGGGATTTTGTCAAGATCTCCAGCTTCGAAGTGGAGCTTTCAATGTGGGCCCTTCCTTATGCAGGTTCCAGAAGACCTTCTGTTTCTGCTTCTAGTTCCGTACAGGGTGCATGCTGGGTTTTGCAAAGGGGAACCAGTAGCAGTGGCATCAGAAGTGTTGGCAACAACTGGGGGATGTTGGGGACTCCCTTTAACATCGTAGACTTGTGACTCTGATGTAACGAAAGGTGGCTGAGGTCTGTGGCTTCCTTTTTGCATTTCCCGCCTTCTCCTTGTACCTATTCTGTGCTCCCACGTCAGCAGTATTTAGGAATCCATTGGTTCAGCTAATGTTGCCCTGTGGGGGCCAATGCCCGATAACGTCACCCATCTCCTTTCACAGATGACTGCCACCAATATTGCATCATGCATTCCGTGTTGTCATACAGAAAAACAACTTCACAGTGCTCTTGTCAAAAATACCTCTTTCTTGGCATTTGTATGAGGTAATAATTGGTTTGAAACCACTAAACTGACTTTGAGTCCTTCCCTTTCCTTGACTTTAATTGTGATTAATATATAAGAGTAATTGGCAATAATCTTCTGAAATCCTTGACTCAGAGGTTTTTTTTAAAAAAATCAAATTTCTTGTGTTTCTAGTAAGTCTGTGTACATATCACCATATATCTTATGGACTTAATTTTTCCACTTTTAGCACAGGCATTTTGGCATCTATATGTGGTCTGTTGATGCTCAAAAACATATGGAATATTGGATTTAAATTGTGTTTTGGTTTCTGGAAGCAACTTCATGCTGCTTATCATACTATTTAATAATCAATTGTGTCTTCATTTATCTTGGCCCAGTTTTTGCCTTTTCTACTATTAATAATTTTACACTTATGTTTGTAATACTGTTGCTTCCACTCAAAACAATGTTTCTATGAAACAATCGGGGACCTTTGTCAATGACACCCTTAGGTATACTCAGGAATGTTATCTCAGATACAGCCGACAGATATAGTAGGACAATTTGGATTCGCATTTGGGAGCTTAGGAAGTGACATAAAGATATTTTCAGATGTTTTCCTTTGCCAGTTGAGTTTTCAGGTCTTCTGCTTCTTAGAAATACATTTTGTAACCTTTGACCAGGCAAGGAAGTCTGCAGTATTAGAAGCATCTTGACTTTTCAAAGGCTTAAGACAATTTTTTCCCCTCAGATTGAAACATATTGCTCACTTGGCTAGGTTTCTAAATATTTTATCTTGATTCCTTTAGAAACCAATTCTCTGAACCATTTTCCTTCTGTTTAAGGAAAGATCATACAGGCTTTTTTTTCCACTCCCAGCACCAAGTTACCAGTTCCTTGATGAGAAACAGATTATTTAATCACACTGAGTTCTTCTGCCTGCCTTCCTATTTGAAGAACTCAGAGTTTCAGTTATTGCTTTGTAGAACATGGCATTACTCTGGATTGTAAGTAACTCTGGGATTCTTCTTGGAGTGCCTCATTTCCGTAGTTCCCAGGGAATTTGTCTAGCACTAGAGGCTGTCTTAACGGAGAATGGCCCTCCTGACTCTCCAGACAGATTTACTCATCACTGGAGCGTGTTTGAAGGCATCAAAACTCAAAGTTTTAAACACTGTGGTATCAATTGGCTGAAGCAGAATGAGTCACTGGTTGGTTCTTTCAAAACACTTGATATTTCATTCATAAATACTTCAGTTTGAAAAATGAAGTCTTTTTGTTTTGGCGCTTCTGATATTGATTTCCAGGGTAGAAAAATGGCACTGATATTTCTTAACTCAAATATTTACCCTTGCTTAAGTGTGTGGAGTTCTGGGATCTTATTCCCTTCCCCAATTAACAATACTTTAAATGTCGATATGCATCTGTGATTTTAGAAATGCAGTATTGTATGGGCAGCTTCTGTTTGTCCCTAGAAAATAAGGGTTGTAACTCACTTAAGGGTACCCTTGAGTAGATCTCCCCCTTTGTTTTTCATCTTTGTCCTTGTACCCTGTTGGCGCACCTAAACTCTTTCTGATTTTTCCAGAGTCAAGAAGCAAAGGGACAGATAGAATTCTAGCTCTTAAAAGGATATAAACAGAAACTAATCACAATCTTTCTTGACTTCATTTTGCTATAGAGGGATACACAATACAATTGGGATGTCAAGTTGCATTCCTGGAAATGTGATCTTTGCAGGGTTTGTAAGAGAACGGGGCCTTTCCTGCCTCCCAGGAGCTGGTCTTTATTCACTGGTTGTTCCTTTGCTGCTTACCTAGGTGCCACCAAATCCAGCCTGCTGTCAGCACCCAGCATAGTCAGTATGTTTGTGCCTGCACCCGAAGAATTCACTGACGAACAGCCCACGGTGATGACGGACAAGTAAGCTCGCACGGTTATTTTCTTTACCGTGTTTACAGAATTAGAGTTTGGTCACCATGGTAGCCATCGTGTTGGTGTGCACAATGCCGTATTGTATGATCAGCTTCCATTTATGCTTAGGCATTTTGATTTTTTAATTTGGACAAATGCAAACAATATCACTTACTCATTATCCCTAGCAGTAATTTCACACCAATAAAATCCTTCAACCAGAAGCTTCAAACTCTTAGGATGGCAATAAGGACAAGCCTTGATGCTTATTCCATCCTGCCAGCAGAATCTGCTCTCTGAATCTCAAATTGGATATGTCACCTCTCAGCCTGGCAGCCTTTAAGATCTCTAGCTTTCTTCTAGGATAAAGTCCAAATGCCTTAGCTTATGAGATAAGGCCCTTTATGTGTGAAGGTATGGCCTTACCACTCCTCACCAGGAGCTCTTCCTCCAGCTCCCCTACCTTTTCCAGAGCATGCTTGATGTGTTCTCTTTTCTGTGATTTCATATGTACCCTTCTCTTTGTACTTTTTCTGCCTGGCGAACTCCTGTTCATGCCTCAAGACCCGGCTTACGGCAGAGTTTCCCTGATTTCACCAGGCAGAATTAGTCATGCCATTGTTCGAGTTTCGATAGCATTTGGTACATTTCCCTATTCTAGTGCTTATCACATTGTATTTTAATTATTTATACCTACATCTTCTGTAACAGTTTGTGAGCTTCTCAGGGACTAGGGCCATTTTTTCTGTATTTTATACTCCAAGCTTCCAGTATATTGTCTGGCACATAGATGCTTATTCGGTGAATATGATAAAGAATAAGACACTGTAGGATGTCAAGTTCGGAGAGATCTCCTTGGACTAGGAAGGTTTCCTGTAAAGGTGACCAAATTGACAAACTGGGTATATGTCTGATAAAAGGTGAGGAGGGCGAGGTGGAAGGGGCTGGTGTGAGTGTCCATGCAGCTGGCCATCGCTCATTCAGTAAGGAGCTGACAGTTGTGACTGAAGAAGTGAAGGTGCCTGTCTTGCATGGCTGCCTTGGAGTGTCCACATGGGACACACTGAGTTGCCTGTGGGAGGCTCTCCGTGGCCCTTCTCTTGGTGTAATTCCCTCCTGCACCCAACCAAGCCCCAGTCTTTCCTGTTTGCCCATGTGTGCACTACATTTCCTTTCTTTTTTGATTTCTAATGTGAATCCTATATTTTAAAATGTCAACTTATAAGAAATTTATCTTTTTTTTTTTTGCTTATATTTAGGAAATTTCAGATGAAAAGGTCACAGCAGCAATTGTAGTAGTTCTGTTTCCCTTGCTATGCCCAGTAGATTTCCCCTTTTCTTTATAAAGCTGCTCACTTTATGAAGCTAGCTTTGGTTGAGTTGAATTAAATGGATCCTGTATTAGGACACTACAAAGAGCAATAAGTTGTAAGTGACTTAAGAGCAGGTGCCATCGTTTGTGTTTTTACATATTACATACTTGGTAGGAATAGGAAGGCCTAGTGAGTTCATAAGATCTCAAACAGTGGTAGAGAAGAAACTCCATCCAGACTCCCCAGGCTTTCTAGATTGTTCTGTTGACTTGACTACCCTGTCTCTTTCCCATAAATAGAGCATTTTATTGAAAGCTTCCATTTGCATCTAGGCAAATGAAAATTTGTCAAATGAATTTTGACAAATGAAAAAAAATCTAGTTACTGACTATCACTAGCAATAATTTCCCATGTATAAAATCCATCAACCATAGTCCATAGTCAATCCAACTGGCATTCATTCTAAAAGGGAGCAAGAACTCATGCATAGGCCAGGAGTGCTTGTGAACTGAAGAACGTTTTCAGTAGTCAAAGAACCTTCATGATCCCAGACTATCTCTGTGTCTATGGTGATGGTGGCACTGGAGTCTCCCACTTATTGTCAGAATGGGGCCACTCATCTCCTTTGAGGCCTTTCCCAAGACTCACTAGAAGTGGCTGTGTCTGTTATATCTTGAAACCGTGGTTTCTTTCATGGAAGCCATTGCTCTGTTTTCTCTGCAGATGCCATGACTGTGGGGCCATTCTTGAAGAATATGATGAAGAGACACTCGGGCTGGCCATCGTGGTCCTCTCCACGTTCATTCACTTGAGCCCGGACTTGGCAGCCCCGCTCCTGCTGGATATCATGCAGTCTGTGGGGCGGTGAGTGTCGGCTTCTGTTTTGTTTGGAAGGAAGGTTCCTTATTCAATCTACATCTCAAAGTAACAACTCACAGTTCAAAAGTGAAATGTTCAGTCACCTTGTAGATGCTTGTTATCGGCAGGATCAACTCAGACTAGTTTTGAAAACCAATTGGACTGAGCTTTGGATTGAGTTTTCCAGCTGTGCAGGGCCATGAGTCATAATGCCAGAGTGAAGCTAGAGGAAACCACACTAAGAAAACTACTGTTGTTGTCTGTTACTATAGAGCTAAAGTATGTAACAGTGCTCAGAACTGTCAGTCACTCATAGTAAGCAATTAGTAAGTATTAGCTATTATTATTATTTCTCTCTACCTATTTTGAGATGGATTCTCTAGGCATTTTGTAATTTCAAGGGCACCTTGCTTAACTATGAAACTTGGGACATTGTCATGTGAAGGGGTATATGGTAATATAGAAGATTTACATTTCTGACTCAGATAAAGGAAGGATGTACACATTTGGGGAACAGGACCCTTCAGCTGTACTGAGGGGAGATTAAGCTCAGCTGCTCTGAGGGTGTTCATGTTAAGAAAATTCTATTTAGTAGATTGGACATTAGAAGATAAACGATGTATTTCATGGATGTGAATAAAGTTCAAATTCAGTAACAAACTGTAGTCCTAGCATGCACAACTTATAAGAGAGGATTGAATTAAATCGCACAAATTTATTAAGTTTACAGTCGGTGCTAACATAGTGTTGGGTCCTTTAGGCTGCAGGCATTCGACCATGCTTTTGCCCTCAAGTACTCTGTGGCTTAGTTGCCAAAGAAGAAAGTTACTGTATGGCATCACCAACTAGCCGTGCAAGATGGGGCACGATTAAGTGCCGTAATGAGTGGTAGGAGTGCTAGGTCATATACAAGCGCAGGATGGAAAAGATTTCTTAGGAAAGGTCTATAGGGAGGAGGTAGGACATGATCTGGATTCTGCAAATTCCTGGCATCTGAGGGAGGGAAAGAGAATGAATCTTAATGGGGCTAAAATTTAATATTTTTTAAAAATATGAAAAAATGCTGATTTCAAATTAAAGACAACTAGGAAAGCATTATAAACTCCTTCATCCCCAAAGTATATGACTCCCCTCCTAGTATCCTTAGGAGTCATATAGTCAGAAATGGTATAAAGGCAAGTCTAACCATTCCACCTTTAAACTTTGAAGTAGCCAATGTGCAAAGTAAGTGAAGAATATGGGGAGGTGGAGAGATAAGAAAAGATGGATTATTTCATTGAAGCCCTTGATTTTGACCTAATCATAATTGTGGAATAAAGGTTGTATCAGCTATCAGCAATACTTGTGGAGCTGAGGGTTTTATTGACACAGGGTCACAATTCCTACCGTCATTACTTTTTAGTTTAGGAATGGATAGAATTATTGTTCTGGTCTGTTACCATCTCTTTGAAATAGCTGACCTAAGTTGTTATAGATATATAGAGGAATTTGTTTTAGTTTTCTGTTTGTTTTAACATAAGCAAGAGTAATCCATGTTCAAGCATTGCCAACTATTAGGATGGAAACAGATGAGCTTTGAAGAAAAGCAAGGGAAAAATGTAGCAGATACATTTTTATGTGATTACCTACACATGTATTTAAATCTCTACCTCCTTTGGGAAGACTAGCCAGAGCCAGGTAGTGCATTTAATGCAAGCTGCCTCAATTCTAAGCAACCTCAGCCTAATCACCAAAGCACCAAGAAATCAGATTCAACAGTCACCTAATTCAGGGCTTCCTTGCATGCCTCAATTCCACCACGAAGAACAGATGAGGTGACGTGGATTTACACGTTTAGTTTATTTATGCTAGTTATGACCACAGGAACCACTCCAGGGTGTTCTAGGAGTCTGTAAGCTCAGCATAACCCTTTCATTCATCACCCATGCTTTTCCGTATGATCTCGCACTTTCCTGTCTAATTGGCTTCCTCTAAAACTTTACCTATCCCTTTTACAAGGTGCAGCCTTTAAGATCACATTTGCTGCACCCTTAGTTACTGTTTAGTTCATTCGCCAAGGCTTATCTACTCGTTTTAGTGTCATTAGCATGAGAGGGCCCATAAACAAAGCAGCTGGGAATGGTGTCTGATGTTAGTGGTTGCCAGACCTTCTATTTCTCTCCAAATGGGTTCTTGGCTCAGTTCACTCTTATACTTATAGTCTTAATAAAGTAAATAAATGTGCAGCATTCTCTTTATTTACTTCTTCAGCATCTTACTGGTCAAGACATGTTCTTCTAAACCAACCAATTTAGTACATTCTCTTTCTACACGATAATGTAGAATATTTCCATGGATACAGAACTGTATAATTATACTTTTCAGAAATTACATATTATATATTGATTATTTAACCAATAAGTTTCTCTTCGCAGTATAAAAGATTTCCATTTCATCATTTCAATCCAACAGTTAGCTGACAAATACTCCTATTACAATTTTACTATCTTATAGAGGCTTTTATAATTTGCAGTTTGTTTGTAGTTAGGTTTCAGAGGTTGTATACAAAGAAACAAATTTTGAGTTGAATTAATATGGAGATGGGCTGGGTCAAATGTTGCTCTGATAAATGTCTAAACTGGTTGCAGATGCCGTGGTGTAGACTGGCCGTGTGGCAGAAAACCAACTTTAACTGCATGCCTCTCCCTGAAAATATGACACAGAAAGGTCTCAGGGAGTAAGTTAACCCTGGTGACTGACCACCGTGTGGGTCCTTTGTCCCTGGTCAAGGGAATTGTCAACAGTTGTACATGTCTCCCGATCTAAACCTGAGCTGCAACAGGTCCTACTGCAACACTAATGCATGTCATCATGAAAACCTAAGATATTCATGTGGCTCTGTTTACTTTATTTCCTAGATTGGCTTCCAGCACTACTTTTTCTAATCAAGCAGAAAGGTAAGGTCCTAAAATGAGCCCAAATCTCACTTTCTTTTTGTCCCTTGTGCATGTTCATCTTGTTTCTAAAACACTAGTGTGTACACCATGGAAGTATTATATTGTTAGGTTCCAGTTGTAGCTCCAGAGAGCACTAGTTGTTCATTTACTGTTCATGCCTTTGTTCATTCATTCACTCATTTTAGCCAACAAATAATTTTAAGCCCACTCTGTGGCTAGATATTTAGGCCTTAACTGGTGGCAAAATCTCTGCCCTTATGGGGCTTACAGTCTATTGGGGAGGCCACCATGAGTAAGAAATTTGTAATTGTTAACTGCTAAGTGCCATGAAGAAAAAGTGTAGAGAGACTTACATCACATTCATTCATTCAACAAGTATTTATGGAGTGATTACTAGGTACTGAGGATACAGTGGTTAACAGAACAGCAAATCCTGCCACTCATGGAACTTATGTTCTCCTTGAGGAGGGAGAAAATAAGCGAATTAATCAATAAGAAAACTGATGATGTAATTTAATATCACTTAGTTCTAAATGCTATCAGAATTTATCAAGTAGTCCAGGAGATAGTGAGTGACTAGAGGTGTTATTTTATATAGAACAGTCAAGGACAGCCTCTCTGAGGAAGTAATATTTGAACAAAACCTCAACAGAGTGACTGGAGTGATCCAAGCAGCAATTTATGGAAAGAACATTCCAGGCAGAGGGAGCAGCCAATGCAAAGTCTCTAAGTCAAGAAAATGCCTCATGTATTTGGGGAACAGACCAATAGGGCTGGAGCAGAAGGAGCAGGGAAAAGAGTGATAGGAGGGAGATGGAAGAGGCAGCAGGAGCCAGGCTGGGTGGAGCCCTGTGGGTCATTGTAAGAGTTTGGCTTTTAGGAGTGAAACAAGGAGCCACTGGGGCGAGGAGCAACATGCTTTAACTTGTGCTTGAAAGGATCGCTCTGTAGTCCTATCACAGAATCAGAGTGGACTGGGAAGTGTGGAGCTCCTAATCGATGGGCATAAAGTTTCAGTTAAGAAAGATGAGTAAGTTCTGGAGATCTGCTGTACATCACGTGCCTATAGTCATCAATAATGCATTGTGCACAAAAATGTAAGAGGGTAAATCTCATGTTAAGTGTTCTTACTAAAATAATTTTTTTTAAAAAAATAATTTTTTAAGAAGGATCACTCTGGTCTCTGTGTGGAAAACAGGTCTTAGGAGGTAAGAATGGAAGCAGGGGACCAGTTTGGAGATCATGTCAGTGGTTCAGGTGAGGGGATAGTGGTCTAAAGTCGTGAGAAGCAGTCACATTAAGGATACAGTCAGAAAATTCTTGAAAGTGGAGCCAACGGAATATGCTGATATATCGGATGTTGGGTGCAAGAGAAAGAGAGGAGGCAAGAATGACTCCCAGGTTTTGATCTGAACAACTGATGGATGGGTGTGCCGTCTGCTGAGATGAGCAAGCCTAGATGGGAGCTGATGCCATGAGTGGGTATAGTAGGCAGTCCTGATCTTGTCTGGGAAGTGGTAGGGGAGGGGAGAAGGAGGGAACGGCTTCCTTCCTTTAAGAAGTGATGTTTAAGCTAAGACCCCTGCCCCCCAAAAAAGGGTTTAACTTAATTATGGAAATAGTTATGGAAAGAGCACGTGCAGAGGTCCTGAGGTGGTAAAGAACTTAGTGTGCAGGAGGAGCTATGAAAAAGCCAGTATGACCATAGCACAGAAATGCAAGCTCTTGCTGAGACTAGCTTGCCAGATTGTTCAGGGCTTATAAACCACATTAAATATTTGGAGCTTCCTTCTAGCAGCAGTGAGAAGCCACTGAAGGATTTTTAAGCAATGAGATGCGCGCGTGTAGCATGTAGAAAGGGTACTTTGGCTGCAATGGGGAGAAAGGCCAGAGGAGGGTAGGAATGGATACTGTTTTTGACTTTGGGCACATTGATCTCTTTGCCTTAGCTTTTTCATCTGTAAAAAGAGAGATACTAATATATGCCCTTCTTGTGCTAAAGGGGTTGTTAACGGGGATTAGGTTTGACCAGAATATTTCTTCTCACTGATGAAAATGACAATGAGATATTCTATGGGAGGGCTAGTGTGTAAATGCCTGACTCTAAATAAATAAATGTCTGAACCCCTGCTCATTGGCCCATGATTTCTTGTCTTTTCTCTCCCTGCTCGATCCCAGCATGATGGTTCCCGGCAATGCCGCAGGGGTGGCCAAGCAGTTCCTGCGCTGTATCTTCCATCAGCTGGCCCCCAACGGCATCTTCCCGCAGCTGTTCCAAAGCACCATCAAAGGTAATTCACCCTTTGAGGATCCAGACACCACAAATTTGGCTAGTCCCTGAAACCCGAACACTACTAAATCCGACTGTTGACTTTCCAGATGGGACTTTTTTACGGACCTTAGCCACGTCTCTGATGGACTTCAATGAGCTGAGCTCTATTGCTGCCCTCAGTCAGCTCCTGGAGGTAGGTTTGCTGTAATGATACCCCAAGCCCCAGCCGAAATGGCATGCCATGTTTCTTTAAGTCACTCCATAGAGTGCTGCTGAGGAAGAAAGTCAAGGTCATTTTATTTGAAAATTAAATCTAAAAGTTTTATATTTAAAATTTAAAATTCTAAAATTTAAATTTTTAAAAATTAATTTAAAAAATTATCAAGGCATAGGAAAGTGTCAGTTGGACATTGCTGTTTTAGGTGGATTCACTATTCATCTAAAGCTTCTAAACACTCTCAACTAAGCCACGCATACCAGCGCTCTGCACTCACCGCCGCAGAACTACCGGGTTTTCCAAATGCAGACTGGGTAGAGCCGTGTGCATTGTATCGCGAGATTTGGGTTCAAGGCTGCGCGCCATTTATTCGCTGTATCGCGAGACTTGGATTCAAATCTCAGGGTCACATCTTGTCAGCTCTGTCAGTGAGCTTGGGGTTTAGTTGAATGCTGACTGCAGTAAGAGAGCTGCTGCTCCTGTAATTCTTACTCCCAGTCTTTGTCCTGGGGAATTCTTTGCAGCAAACATCATTCATTGTCTTCTTAGCACCTAACCACACCAACTGTAGATCCCTAGAAGATGTTTCCTATTTCTTGCTCACATTTCACCCCTCCCTGAGTGAAAGATCACCAATTTTCCCCCTTAGTCCCTCCGAACTGGTGGATTTTTCTCTGTATGACTCCGGTCTGTTACGATGGTGGGTCTGTATAGTAGGCACTCAACACACGTTTATAGCGTGAATGTGTGATTTCTTAAACTGATCTTCACCAGACAGCTATGTGAGTTCCCGCGCTGTTTCAGCAGTTGATTGCCTATGCTTTTGTGTTTTTAGGGTCTAAATAACAAAAAGAATTTACCAGCAGGGGGTGCTATGATACGCTGTTTGGAAAACATTGCTACCTTCATGGAAGCTTTGCCCATGGATTCTCCCAGCAGCCTCTGGACCACCATCAGCAACCAGTTTCAGACGTTTTTTGCCAAGCTGCCTTGTGTTTTACCTCTGAAGGTAAGCTGAGTTTAGGATCTCGTTTTAAATGACTTTCTTACTGTTTCAGACCATTTGTTTACAGAGAACAACACAAGCAGCAGAGCCTTGGGTGATTTAATGTATTCGGAAGGACAATAAGGAATCTGTCAGCCATGCAATGAAAGAATTATGTAGGTTGTTCTCGCCAATATTAGAATGACGGCAATATGGAGTGGGCATTTTGCTCACTATGAATATGGTCAGTGATTGCATGTCTCCAGGTGATTTAAGAAGGATCAGGAAGACATTAGTAGCTTGTGTTTATCTAGAAATTTTTCTCAGGTGGATATTAAGTAAGTAAGGAAATAAATAGTTTTGCCTAAAAGGAACCCAGACATATAATGTAAAGTTTCAATTTTAGATAGTTATAAAAAGAGAAATGCTTGCTTATGTGTTTGTCAATAAAGTCCTTGCAAGACCAAGATGATGTTTCTGTTTGACAGCTTACCCCCCACACCATACTATCCCGTAAGAATCAACACACAATTACCTAGCTGGAAATCTGGTGGCCCAAGGGTCATTACCAACATGAACCCAGTAAATGCAAATAAGAAGCCTATGCTGATAAAGCTGGGAGAAACCTGCAAGAATTGTACTTTCCAATGTACCCACTTTCCAAACAGGGGCTGCAAATTCAGAGAGATGATGTGACTTGCTGAAACAGCTTGGTGGTGGTAATGCAGAGATTAGAACTCAAGTCTCCTGACTCACAGTCCAGTGCTCTTTCCACTAACAGACTCCTAGTGCCCCTTTAAAATGGGGTGAGTTGAGGGCATTCACGTCTCGAGCAGGTAGAGAGGAGATGGCTGGCGGTGGCACTGCTGGCTTTGAACCTCACTTTCTCCTTCAGGTTTTTTGTGCTTTTGTGTGCAGATCACAGATAGAAATATTTAACTCATAACAAGATGAACCACTTGTTGATCTGACAAGTGGTGTTACATGTTGGTAGCTCTACTTGTGAAATGAGTATTATATGTATGTAAAGATCCTTGATAAACCACCTGTGATAATACCTTTTTCCAAATCAGCTGATACTACTCATAGGATCTGCAAGGGAGATAACTCAGGGACCCTTAGCTTGGTGTGTGCTGCTTTGAGTTTGATGTTACTAAGAGCAGCAGGAGTTCACAGGAGGGATCTTACCACCTCTTACATTCTGAGATCCTTGTTTGCCCACAAATCTGGAGTAGCTGAATAAATCCAAGCAAGGAAGATTAGCCCTTTGAAACCGTGTATGTGTGTAGCTACCGTACACGTACACACATAGGAAATCAAGTCCATATTTAACATGGACACACAGAGCCTCCCTCGGACCAGAGAGCCAATCAGAGCCAGAGTCACACACTCTAGAGAAGGGACGGGGGCAGGTATGGCAAATTCCAATGCCTATATGCAGATGTGATAATCAAAATATTTAACTAGAACACTGAGAGTAGGAAGTGTTGCCAGCTGTAAACAACTGGTTTACCTAATTTGTGACAATTAGCCCTGCCCATAGGGACCCTGCCTGCAAGGTTAATGAGTGAAGTGGAGTGAGATAAGGTAATAAGAATTGAGACCCTTGAGAATTGGAATGCACCAGACCTTCTACCGGGATCAGCTGCTACTCTTCTCCTGCTGCTTATTGTCATGAGGGAACGTGGGCCTCATGTTTTCGATCTCCCTATTTTTTCTAAGATGACATTTCCTGATTTTTAAATCACTGTGGGGGCCTGATGAGCAGCCAGTTTTCAGCCTCTGGTTTAAAGTAATGTAAATGTCACATCTACTCCGATGGGTATTGAGCAGATTAAATAGACCAGTGGTTCCTTTAAAAGGTACTTGTGAAATACTTTCAGGATTTGTGTAAGAATTTGCCCTGCTAGGGCAGATCTGGGCACTGCTTCTGATCGTCTTCTGCTTTTGTTTTTAATCTCTGGGAAAAATAATAAGCCATTGAAAAATCTTTTGTGGTTTGTTTTGATCAGTTTAGAGAAGCAGACCTCAAACTTCAGTATGCATCATGTCGCTGAAGGACTTGCTACAAGACAGATTACTGGGACCCATTAGAGAGTTTCTGTTTCAGCAGGGGTAGGGCCTGAGGATTTGCATTCTAGCGTTTCCTGATTTTTAAATCTCTCTTTTTTAAAGTAATGTAAATGTCACATCTATTCTGATGGGTATTGGGCAGAACCAGGTAATAGAGATGCCGCTGGCCCAGGGATTCCACCTGGAAAGCCACTGGCTTAATCTTGAAGAGGTTAATACACACAGCTGCAGAAATTTAACTATAGCCTGCTATTGTGATATATTTACAATGTTAAATAACATCATTGTGTATTCGTGCTGTAACATTTTCCCCCCAGTCCCAGCAAACTTAATTTAAAAAATACATTTTGGTGTGGAATCTTGCCAAAGTAAAACTCTAATAAATATGTAAGGCATAATTTTCTCTTGTAGAAATTGTACTGCTTTTTCTCAGGTTTTTGTCATGTCTTTTCATAGCAGAGAAAGGGCAGGTGAAACTGATTCTTATTTGGACTAATGGTTTTTAAATAGAGCTAAGTATTTATACTCATAAATACTCATATTTTCCTAATATGGCCTTTCACAAATTAGTGTACCTCTTTAGAGTTGAATACATTCGATATCTATCTGTCCACCTATGTGTCTGTCTGTCGTTTATCCATCCATCCATCCATCTCTCTATTCAACTTTCTTTCTGACTTAATTTTAGTGCTGTATCTTTGAAGAATAGTTTAGGAACTACGTTTATTTAATTGTTTAGCATTGTTTAATTAAAATTGTTTTGACCTGAGAATGATTTTTTTTCCAACATGAATATATGGCACAGGAAACTGTAGAGAGGTGGTCATAGTTCAAATTTTTTCCTTTTTGCTAAAATAAATGCTTTCAGGAAATATTTGAAGCAAAAATATTTGTATTAAGAACGGAACTGACATTAACTTTTTTCATGTTTATTCACAGTGTTCTTTAGATTCCAGTTTGAGAATTATGATTTGCCTCTTGAAGATCCCCTCTACCAATGCCACAAGGGTATGTGCGTTTCAGAGAAATATAACCACTTGGTCAGTCAATTATTTTTTCACCTAAAAAGACACATATGCAGCAATACTAAAGAAATAGTTAAGCTCCTTATCACTCCTCATGCTACATCAGCATCGAGTATGAAGAGCTCTGATACGTGGCAATGTCATTGTTTGTAATTGGTCCTCCTGGTCCTGGGCCATGCCCACCAGTCCATCCCCCATGCTATTCACTAGGTGATCTTTCTGAACACAGATCTCATTGTGTTGGTTCCTTGCTTAAAAATCTTTGATAATGTTTCTTTTCTTTAGGGATAATATCCAAATTCCTTAATGTGACATACAAGAAGTCACTTTATAACTCGCCAGCCTACCTTTCCAGTTTAATCTTTGGCTACTTGTCCCATCCCTCATGCCCCCTCTCCTAGAATCAGCATTATTATCCTCATCAAAACAACCACCACCATTTGCTAAGCACAGCATAGGGCAGGCATTGTGCTTAGTGCTTTACATATATAAACTTATTCAATTTCGTGGTTCCTTGCCTCTGCCCAGGCCATTTCCTTTGCCTGAAATGCTTCATACCCTTGTGCCTGTGGCGAACGCCTCCTCATTCCTTAAGGTCCCATTTAAGGAAAAATGCGTATGTTATCTGTAGCCACTTCCTTCTATAACAGCTCCCACAATACTTGATAGAGTGCTCTGTATGAGCACTTACATTGTCCTGAAGTCTCCCCGATGAGACTGTGGGCTTCATGAAGTTCACTGCTGTGTCTCATTCATTTCTGTATTCCTACCTTCGTTTCTGGGCCGCATTATATTTATGCAGTGGTGCAATAGTTTGTATTGCAATAGCTTGTAATTACTAGCTAATATACCAACAATGCCCATCTCGGGCAGTTATTTAACTTGACTGTGCTTTCATAGACTTATAGTTTATGCTAGAAAGTTATAAAGAGATTATTTGGTTCAATCTGCTCATTTATAGACAAGGAAACAGGCTCAGAAAGATGAAGTGTCTTGGCCAAGGTTATATAGCTCATTCGTAGAAGATTTGAGACTTGAACATAGGTCCTTTGGGTCCAAGTTCTTTGGTTTTTCTTTTGTACCATAGTGCTCCGTCACCTTGCTGCTGGTAGTCAATAGTACACAGAAAGCATATGGAATCAAAACTGACCCTTATGGGTGGGATTCAGCTGGAGAAACCAAAATAGGCAATGACTTCCTGATAAACATCAGCAGGAGGTTATGTCGCGATGAATTTTATCTAAGCCATAGAGCTTTGGTACTTACACACAGGGGTGGTTTGCATTACTTATAGATATAAGAGCAAGATTCTATATAGGCTTGAATCCAGGTTTCTCTTTTTGACCAATAAGGATGCATTATATATCATCTTGAGACATTCCTATCCCCACTCATCCATTGTCAGTGTTTCAAGGAAACAACAGTTACACAGAGCAAAGAATACTGAATCAACCGTGCTGCTTCAAAGAGTTTCTTTAAGGCCAGGCGCGGTGGCTCACGCCTGTAATCCTAGCTCTCTGGGAGGCCAAGGCGGGCTGATTGTTTGAGCTCAGGAGTTCGAAACTAGCCTGAGCAAGAGCGAGACCCCGTCTCTACTAAAATTAGAAAGAAATTAATTGGACAACTAAAAATATATAGAAAAACTTAGCCGGGCATGGTGGCGCATGCCTGTAGTCCCAGCTACTCGGGAGGCTGAGGCAGGAGGATCGCTTGAGCCCAGGAGTTTGAGGTTGCTGTGAGCTAGGATGACGCCACGGCACTCTAGCCCGGGCAACACAGTGAGACTCTGTCTCAAAAAAAAAAAAAAGAGCTAGAGTTTGAAAACACTTGTGTCAGATTCTAGCACTGTGTCATGGCCTATATTATAGCATGCTGTCTCCCAGGATAATTATAAGAAATTTCAATGAGATAAATTATATGAAAGCATCTAACTCTGCCTGTCACTCATTAGGTGCTCAATAAATATTTCTAAATAATAAAGCATGTGGAACTAAAACTGACCCTTCATGGGTGGGATTCACATAGAGAGACCAGAGCAGGACGATGCCTTCCTGATAAACATTGGCAGGAGGCTGCATCGTGATGAATTTTATTTAAGCTATAGTCCTTTGGCACTTACACACAAGGGTGGTTTGCATTACTTCACTGAGAAGACAGGTTTCAAGAAGATCTGAATCTGATGGACCCATCCATAGATACCTAAAGGTTCTAAGAAAAAGAATGGAAGATCCTAATGCAAACCTCACAGAGTCCTAATTGCTCAGGGTGGACATGAAGATACTATTGTAGTTAGATGGGTTTGAAAATGTATGCTTCATGGAAAAATGAATTCTCTTTGAGCAATGAAGTGATTTAATCATGTTCTTTGAGCCATTGATTGAAGGTGTAGTTCTGTTTTTAGACCGACAGGGTTGCTACAGTAGTCACTTGGCAACAGATTTTAAATAAAAAAAAGAATGATTCCATTAGTTAAAGTATCATAAGATTTTAATGCTTTTTTTTTTAAAGAAAGAATCAGCAGTTGACTTTATTTGGTGCCAATCTCATTGCAGAGTTTGTTGGAACCATTTTCAAAACTGCTCAGCTTTGTAATTCAGAATGCTCTCTTCACCCTGGCCTACCTGGTAGAGCTGTGTGGCTTGTGTTACCGAGCCTTCACTAAGGTAAGGTTCCATAGGTGTGTTCTTGTGAAACTGAAACCTGGCAGAAATATTCTCTTTCTAATCAGTGTCAAATCCCTTTTAGGTCATTTGCTTCACCATAGTTAAAAACGAGTAATTCTGTTGGGCATGGTGGCTCACACCTGTAATCCCAGCAACACTGGAGACTGAGGCAGGAGGATTGTGTGTTCAAGGCCAGCCTGGGCAATATAGCAAGAACTTGTCTCTAAAAAAAAAAGAAAAATTAGCTGGGTGTGGTGGTGTGTGCCTGTAGTCCTAGCTACTCCAGAGACTGAGGCAAGAGGATCACTTGAGCCCAGGAGTTTGAGGCTGCAGTGAGCTATGATCATGCCACTGCACTCCAGCCTGGACAACAGAGTGAGACATTATCTTTAAAAAAAAAAAAAGAGTAATTCTATGGAGATCTAATAAATATCATAAATATAATAAGAAGGAAACCCTTTACACATAATATATATAAGCTGTGTCTAAGATATGCAGATTTGGAGAATTGAGGGTTGTGTGCTTTAGAAGAGAAGAAGTATTTTGAATGAGATGAGATAATGGTCTCCATGACCTCTAAGGTCCTTTTCAAGTTCACCATCCCCTGATTAGTAGGCACGCCATCACTACATATCATTTTTATACCCAAAGTAGAAAATTATCTCCTTGTCATTTACAAATGTCATTTACAAAGCCTGTAGATAGCTCCTTCATTCTCATGATTTGTCTGTCTCCCCAGTTCTGAGTTCTTGGCCTCTGAGATTGTAATCTCATCTTTTGTCATCTTGCCTTAGTAATGGTTTCTCTATTGCATTATCTTTAGCACCCCCTGCCCCCTACTGTGAAAGTGGAAAAGTACTGCACGCCCAGTGGATGTAGCAGCCTTGCTGGAGCTGGTAGATTCTGTCCTAATGGCAAATCAGAAGGCAGGACAAATTGGGAGCATTTCTGTCCTTAAGAACAATGTACAAATGTTACCCTTCCGATGTCCAGATTTTCCAAGTTTATTTTCAATGGGGTCTCTGTTTCTATTTTTCTCTCTTGAACATTCAGAATGTTCCTTTATTCATGTCCACTTCTATAAACCCTTTATTTTCCTCGTAACAATCTAATTTTATACTAAGGCTTTTATTCTATTTAAAATACCCTTGTCTCCTTTCTTACCAACTTGTGTCCATTCTGCCATGTTAAGTGTTCCATGGTAATATTTTTTTTTTTGGTTTTTCTGATTATAAACTATTTATTACCCTGCCTGGAGCAATATGTTTTCAAACTACCAAGAAAATCAGCATTTTTTTCTCTTTTCAAATCCTTCTTGAAAGATAACTTCTTCCCCCTTTTTTTTTTCACTTAAAAAAGTAGATCTATAAGGTAGGTACAGCACCAAATACGATAAAAAGATATTCTATTTTTAGAAGTCATTTTATTTCTTTATTATCTTTACATTTGATTTGTTTAAATTATATCTTTTGTTTAGAAGAAGAATCATGATAAGTTTGTACTGTTTATGTTGTACACTATAGGTATTGATTACAGGGACCTTCGAGCATTCTGAATTCAAGATATTCTTGGTTTGAATATTCACTGTACATGGTATCCCCTCACAATCCATCATAACTTTAGTGGCCTCTCACTTCTTATTGTCATCTACACTTTCTCATTCTAACACAAAATGATTATTACTTGTAGAAACCTTCAATCCAGGGTGTTCCCACCTTTCTCATAGATAATGATAAACTATAAGAAATAGTTAAAAAGATAGCTCTATCTGATTGGGGCTTCTTCATTATATAATTAAAAGAAAAGTCATGGAAAGGTAAGAGCTTTGGAGACTTCCCCTTTTGGCAATTATGGTAGTCTAAATAACCTGAAAACCGTCCCACTTAACATACTTTGGGATAAAATGTAATAAACAAGATTTTAAATGTGTAGCTAATTTTATAAGAATGAAAGGGGCAAAAATGAAGAAAGAATTGAGAACCAGAATGGTAAACGTCTAAGTAGTCCTGGGTGGGGGGGTTGCTTGTCTTAGTAACTTAGTGGCTTGAGTTTTAAAAGCCCACACAAGGAAAGGAGATGAAGTATTGGGACTAATCCAGGCTGGCAGTTGGAGCTGACTTACCCCAGCAGAAGGTCAAAACCGTTGAAAGGTGATATACTAGGTAAAAGGGTGGTTTGGAAAGAATATATTCCTACATGGAAGTGGCAAAGAATGGTATCTGTTTTAGCCTGGGAATTGGGAGAAAGATTTGTTGTCTCTCTTGAGAATTAGTAAGCATGGGCTTATCTTTGAACAGGTTTAGAGTTTGACTTCATAATACCTGCATGTTCTGGGAATCCCCAAGTTGAAAAGTCAAGTAATATTACTGCTGAGCAAGTACTAGCTTTGGAGTGTCTGGGAGAAGCAAGCTCAAGAGCAAGCCTCAAACCTCTCTGGAAGGATATGCCTTCAACCTAGGCCTAGCAGGATTCCCATAGTTAAAATCTTGATGAACCTAAACTCACAATCTAAAATTACAAAACAAATGAAGAAATAACTTACCTTGAGCTAAATTAGCAAAATCAACAACAGCAAGATTATTTCCCCCAAGGACTTCCAGTATTAAAACTATGCAGCAGAGACTATAAAAACATACTGTACATGATAAACATATAAAGGATAAATAAAAATCACAAGAACAGATCTAGTCACTTTCAAATAAAAAGAAAGAAAGAAAGA